CAAATAGTCCTCCAATGCTGATGCTGAGGTTTGTCTTAGGAGTGGCTATTATATTTTTCACTTATTCATCTCAGCGGTTACAAATGAACACATCGCGTCCATTGATGGCTTCTAGAGGCAATAGGTGGTCTTCGCTGACAATCCATTCTTGCTCGTGACGGTCAGCACACTTGTTCGTAACGTCGCAATCTTTTTCATGACTCTTAGTTCAAGAAAGATGCAACGGATCAGCCACGGTTTTCCAACGGATCTTCTTACAAATAGTCCTATCCTTGATGGTTTATGTTCGAGCCATCCGTTCGGGGAGAAGATGAGAGGGCAGACGCTCAATTCAATATTCATTGATATGTCGATCCGAAACATCAGAATGAGCAGACTCCACTCTCTCCATCCGAATCCATAGGAGTGCAAGTTGAACATTTTGTCTTACTTCGAAATCGAAAGCCAGAGCTTCGAGTAACAGTGTCCAAGCAAATCTGGGCACATAGAATCAATCTTCACACTGAATGTGCACATTGTCGACACTTTCTAACAACTGCGAGGTTCATTTATAAAATCGTGACGACGGATTTGACTGCGGTCTTTGCGCCCAAATGAGCATAACACCCTACAAAAAATCATCACCTCAGCGTTTAGCTCATTACTTCCAATGTCCAGGTACTATCATACCTAAGCAGAACAACCAGTCGAGTAAAGATTAGAGCCAAGAGCGGTTGCTGGAAGGTGTGTGCGTGTGCGCACGGTCGCGCCATCGTCACATTTTTCGAACCTATATCCACGGTCAAGCAAGGGGTGTGGCACACGATCCCTGGTTAGATCCCCCCCCCTGATTGCTGTCTTAATAAGACCCCCCCCCTGAACTATACACTTAAGATAGCATTACTTGAAGGCCCTGTCAGACATAATGGGCAACATATCCATAATTAGCATGTCAAATAACCCCTGTAGACAAAGTGTGAGCGAATTCTGAAGATTCAAGATACTAGGCTGCGGCCGCCGCAACTTTTAAGGGGGTGTGCCGCACCCCATTAACTACCCTATTTTCAGGTGTATAAGCCGCGGGGTGGTCCTAGCTTACATCGACCAGCCCGAACTCATTAAAGGACCTCGCAACCAAAGGACCCTATACCGTGCTGCGTATTGCCTGAAATAATTGTGCGGCTTAAGGATTTCTTCTCGAAACACAATGAAGCGGCTGAGCAGCCCGGGCGAAAATTTGAAAAAGTGCGGCTTATACACCTGAAAATAGGGTATATCAAAAAAACATTTTTAACGAACTTTATTTAATGAATCGATAGCTAAACCTTGTAGATTCCATAGGAATGTTTTGAGCCTGATTCGTCTTCTTAGCTCTAAGTAATATTTGGTGAAAGCACAGCCCTTAAAAGCGAAAAATGGGAGAAATGAGGTTTTGGAAGACCTCTAATTCCACAGTTTGGAGGTCTTTTGAAGGGAGATTTCTGAGATGGACAAAGAAGGAGTAGTGCTTTGTCTTGAGTGCAAAAAAGGATAGCTAATTCACCTTTGAAACAAAGTCAACCATGTTGGAATATGACCATTTCACTTAGGTAGCCTAATATCTTGATTCTTCAGAATTCGCTCAAACTTTGTCTACAGGGGTTAATTCACAAGCTAATTATGGATATGATACGAATATCATGTTATCACTATTATCAGATCACCCAACTACGACCCCCTCCCCTTTTGACTTCTCAATACGACCCCCCAGGTGTGGCGTGCCGCACCCCACGCTTGACCCTGCCTATATCTCTACTCTCACCAAATGCCGTACGATAGTCTTTTTTTTACTATACCATGCCTATTATCGTTAGCATTCTATAATAGCACCAACAAGTTCAGGTCGCCTGTCTCAATAAAGCTTGAATGTTTTCGTATTCCTTGTGGCACACTCCAACAGGCGCTATACCTCCACAGACAACAGTAAAGCCTAGAACCAGCGATACATTTGGTGCACTGACTAGACGATGGCCGACGCACTGTTTCGTTTCGACAGCCGCACAAAGGGACAACGCATGATGAAGCTTTTCCACACCCTCCACACAATAGTTAGATGTCACACCAAGAGTCGCGCGGAAGTACTAAAACACTACGCATACAGCGGTGAGAAGACCATATTTACAGATAACCTGAAGTGCGACAAATAATATGCGTCTACATCTGCAATATGTGCGAATTATCAAGGAAGTCAAAACCGACAGTTACTACATGTGAAGATGATGAGCAGAAGGAACTTACAAAACGAAGAATTCGTTGTCATAAGGAAAGTGATGGCAACGGAAATTGTGGGGCATGATAGAGAGATGAGATATTATGAAATCATTGCTAAAGCACAGTAAAGTGGGAGATCCTTGTGAATGTTCTGTTGTTTTTGTTCCTGTTCCATGTTCTTCCAAGTGAATTGGGATTCTGTAGTGATTTTCTGGCAAAAAAATTTTGAAGCACGGACATGTCTTAGTGTGCTTGAGGATGTTTCGAAAGAGCGCAGCTTTAATGTTTGGGACCCAAGAGAGCTCGTACTGCGAGCTGCTACACCAAAGTAGATTTTGCTAGCATCCCTCATAAGATGCTAAAAGCTTGACCTCTTTTTATAATATTAGGTTGTTACATAAGTCTTATTACACTTAACTTCTAACGGCGACAGGTCATACACCTCATAGTCTTTACGGGGCTCCAAGGTACCATTCGATAGAGCAAAGCAAGCTCTACAATAAGGTCTGCAGAAGTTCGCACCAGCTCCGACCCACCCTAAGGTTGCATCCAAAATTTTCAGCTTTCCAAAAGCTCTGGTACTGAGGACTCAAAAATCGCGAAAAATTCATAACTTTGCTCAGAAAAATCCTACGAATTTCCAACTTACCCACAAAAATTGCCCACTATATCAAACACTCATACGTACCGTTGCTGTAATTTTTCCTTATCTAGAAATCAGGAAAAGAAATTTTTTTTAGTTTTTATAAAAACGAAGCTATGCTGTTTCTATTTATGCAGCTGTATACTACAAGCCCTTACAAGTATAACCGTAAATTTTCAGCTTTCCAAAAGCTCTGGTTTTCGAAAGATACCAAATTTAGCTTCTCCCACTCGGGTGTTCAATGCTAAATTAGGTAGTTTCCGAAAACTAGGGCTTCTGGAAAGCTAAATATTTACGGTTATACTTCTAAGGGCTTGTAGTTACAGCTGCATGAATAGAAATATCATAGCTTCGTTTTTGTAAAAACTAAAAAATTTTCCTTTTCTCGATTTCTAATAAGGAAAAAATACAGCAACGGCACATATGAGTTTTGATATAGTGGACAATTTTTGTGAGCAAGTTGGAGATTCGTAGGGTTTTTCTGAACAAAGATATGAATTTTTCGCGATTTTTAAATCTTCACTACTCAGATTTTGGACGCAAACGTACGGTGCATCGGAGCTGGTGCGAACTTTGAAGACCATCTTGTAGAGCTTGCTTTGCACTATCCAACGGTACCTTGGAGCCCTGCAAAGACTATAATGTGTATGACTTATCGCCGTTAGAAGTTAAGTGTAACAAGACTTATGCAACAACCTAATAATTTTCTGCAGTATTGTATTTTCATAATTGCATAAATGAATCTAGTCTGCCAATGCCTTCAATTGTCTGCAAAGAAAATGCTTCCATTCTCTAAATTAGTGGTCAATATATCGCTGTGCTATAGATGCAAATGAATCGAAGTTAACAAATGGATTGACAGTAGTCTGTATTATTATTGTCAACAAACAAGAAGACTGCGAGAATGTTTGTGGTTGTTGCATGTAGACTGCTGCTTTCTATAGACTAATTGGTATATAAATGGGATACCACCGCTTCATAGCACATTCCTCCCCTTCACCACTCCCAACAGAATATGAAATCAGAAATTTGCTTTCCCCCCCCCCCCCCGTATTCTAGTTTTTCAATGCTTCTAAAAGTTTTGTAATAGAAAATATCGCTTTGTTTTGATTCATTTACGAGCTGGTATCCCGGGCCATCCCGGTGTTGCGAAGCCAGTCTATCGTACTTGATCTCCATGCAGCGAAATTCACCCTTCTTTTGATTCCGACTCGTCATGGGTCGCTTCTACCGTCCTTACCATAATTGATGACCAGCCGATCAAAATGAGTTTCACCGCCCAACTTTCATGACTACGGAAAATGACAAACGCATACAGACATACAGATTTTCTGTTTTATATATAGAGATAAAAATAGACTGAAGAGGCTGTATGCTGCGTTACGAGTGTAATCGTATAAAATGCGTGGAAAATTAAGCGGATGGGAGTACCTTCGCTTCCATTTTCGAGTGTGTACAGGTCCTAACCCCCAAGGAAGTCGTAGACGACGGAGATGCACTAGAAGAAATTGGCTCCCACTAATTTTTAGTAAAAATGATGGAAGATTGTATTTGGGAAATCTGAATGCTGACAGAGAAATATGCGAATGTTAGAACTAAATCTTTGTCTTTATTGAAATTCAATTGAAGCGGAGGATTCTGCTTGTATCGTATGAAACACCAACAAGATACGAGCAATGTAGCCGGGAAATGGTGGTGTCGTGGTAGCTTCAAAACATCCGATCTAAATCACCTTCTTTTATGTCTGTATGTTGAAATTCGCAGATTTTTCTGAATTTGTTTCGGAAACTTATACGAGCAAGAAAAGCGACTAGGATGTTTGCCGCATTGCTGGTAGATATTATGATTATTATTATTTACTAGATGGCAAACCCGGCTCCGCCCGGGACCAAACTTTGCACACATACACTTCGGGGCAGGGAGCGTGTCATAGGCTACTTTTCGTTATCGATCGATATCGATTTTATCGATTTTTTGCAAAATTTGAGCTACAGGGCTGGGAGTTGGCACAGGGGGGTAATCGAGCATGCTGATCACCCCGGAGGGGTTGATCAGCATGCTCGATTACCCCCCTGTGCCCCCTTTAGCCACTTTCAAACTTGCCGCTGCCTCAATTGAAGCAGCCACCATGGCTCATAACGACCTGAGAGCGCAAATCGCTACCCGCGTCTTGGATGTGGGAACTTACGGAGATTTGCCGGGGACGAAGAGTCTCTTCAAGCTGGTCAGTGAGACCTAAACTTAATGAAAAGCGATAGAATTGTGACCAGATAAGTGAGCGAACATCCTCTTTCCTCTTGCATTTACACAGCAGCATTTATGAGAGCCTCTGAAGAGTTTGGAAGTCTAAGTTTGCAACCTTGTGTCTGACTTTGTACGAATTACAGAAGTATGATATTGGTGGCATCCACGAAGCACTTGCTCTAATCACCATTGGGACAGAATGCGAATATTCATCACACGTGAACGCGAACATGTTCGGAATGGGCGAAAACTTTATAACGTAAGCAAGTACTAAACTGCCCTATTTTCCGGTTTATAAGCCGCTCCTTGTATAAGCCGCACCAGCCGCAGCGAACAATGGCGCGAAAGAGCCTTCGAAAAGAAAGTTTTAATCTAGCAATCTGAAAACTCGCTGCATTTTGTGATTGCTTTTTATTGTGCATGTTCATGTTTTCAGATATTTCTTTATATTTTCCAAAGATTCGGACGACTTTGGGGTGTTTGGGTTGTATTTTTCCTCAAGGATACAGTAGAGTTGACCGTGTTTTCTTTTGTTTTCAAAGATGTTGCTGAGGTTAAAGCTGAAGCTATCGTATTCGATTTCAATGATTGTTGATGATGATGTTGATGTTTCAATGGTGCTTTCAATGCTTCCACAAGAAAGAGCGAATACAGAAAGTTACAATCAGGCTACTAGGTAAAAAAAAAGGTAGTTGGCTGTTTGCGCGGCTTCGTACATCGCGACCATCATCTCGCATCAGCCCGCGCGCGACGAAAATAATTGCGGCTTATACGCCGGAAAATAGGGTATATGTGTTTGCTAGTCTGATACGATGAAACCATGTATCTTATTAACGAGACTCTTTAGATATAGAACAGACAGACAACAAAAGCCTACTAACAAAAAGCTTGCTAAAATGTTCAAATGGGCAGTGGAGGATTGGAGTGACACAGTCGAAAGTCCTCTGAGCTCGGACGTTACTTAAACAAATACTTCTATTTCGCCAATGTGCGCTTCTATAATCTTGCAATCAATTTGAAGCAAATAAATCAGATTGACGTTTTTATATTCAATTCAATGTTGCTTTCAGATGATCTATAACAAGCAATGAAGTTTGAGTGCAGCTACAAGTACTGTGAGACCAAAGGCAGAGTTGCTAGCGTGTGTGTATACGATAATATGTAAGCCAGAATATTAGACAGTTTAGTCATTAGATACCATTTGTTCGAAAAACTCGCTCTAAAGTATTATTTGTGTTCTATCTACAAGACCTGAAACGCTAAAATTGAGGCAGAATTTCAAAAATCTAAGCACCCACCATTTACGATTTACGGTGTTTGAGAACAAAACTGCAGTTTATCAGCAGGGAAGACAGAGTTGTCGAGTTCACGTAAACGTTTTAATATAAGCTCGGGAGTCGTACTAGACAATTATCACGTTTATAAGCTTTACTTGAAAAAACAACAGTCCTACTCTTATATAAAATCTATAATTTTCATTACTTAACAAACTTAGAATTTATCTCTTCATCTGGACTCTTTTAGGCCGCAGCTGAACGAACCGCTGTATTCGGCAGACTCAACGGGCAAGAAAGGGTGCACTAGAAGCAATCCATGTAACAAAATTATTAAAGATGGTGTCTGTGAAACGACTGATGACAACGTTGACCCTCTTTGCGAACAGATATCGACGAGTATGTAGCTGATATAACTTTACCGGAACTTATCCATTTTAACCTTCCTTTCAGTTACCACAGAGTTAAACTACAACGACAGAAGAAACTAAAATAACAACAATAGAAGAACAAGAACAACTAAGTGAGTAGGGAGAATGAGCTTCGAGAGAATTGATGGTCTTGAAAATTCTCATATATGATAGCGTATATAGCAATCTAACCTTATATGATGTCGCGGATTGGGCCCCCAGCTCCCCACGTCAGTGGATACGGCTCACCTGCATCGGCGTATGGGAGCCGGGGACCCCCTCCGTGAAAGGGTTCACGTCACTTGGGGCGGTAGCTAGCCTGCACTAAATGCTATTGTGCCTGCCACACGGCATAACGCCTGACTTTTAGGGGCCCTGAGCTACCAGCTCACCTAGTAATAAATGCAGCCTGGGGCGTTAACTCCGTTCCCACTACTGACACTTGGGGCATGCCATCACCACTTGGCACTAGCCGGCATCGTGCCAGTCTTCTCACGGATCTAACCATCTGGACTGTAGATGATGACGACAAAACATACAACACGATATTACTCGGGGCTGCAGCCGAGCTGCAGTCCACCGCATCGATCAACAACCACAAGTTATCAACTACCCACCATTTATCCTTAACACAGACCCTACACTCAAACACAAGGGATGAAAACAACCAGCCAGCTGTTAGAAACCTAGGGGCCAGCAATATCGGAAACCCCCCGTGGCGGTGTCGCCGGCGTGTGCCAGGCGCGAGCGCGCACGGGATTACCTCGACTGCGGGGTTGCCTGTCCTCCATGGCGTGGATGTAGATGACGCGTGAGTTGGGGAAGGCGCTGTATCGATCGATGGCTTGAGACGAAGTTGGAACCCGACCGCTCACGATGGCGACAGCAGTGAAGACTGACTACGTGACTTATTTGAACGCTGCGCAGGTGAGAGAGGTGAGAGGCGGGACAGCGCGAGGACGGCGTTTTGGGACCCTTCGCAACGCGACGGCGGCCTCCTTTAAAGGAAGTCGCGAATCCGCGACACTCCGGGCAACGAAAAAGAAAGGGTCCGAGGTAGCTCCCGATCTGCCATGTTACCTACGACCCTACGAGTCAAACATACACACACAACCTACGAGTCAAAATCCCTAGGTGGAACGCGGGACCTACTGCCTGTCGTGGTAACAACCGGTTGTCTTCGGAGGTAAGCGTGAAGAGACGTCGGGGGCGCTACACTGGATAATGGCGGGCTTCGGCAGTTGTGGAGACGATTGTTGCGTTGAACGGAAGTTGAGGCGACCATTGACTCGACAGTTGCGGCATCGACAGCTTGAACGGCGACCATGGAACTCGGCTTGAACGTGGTAATCGGCTTGACGTTGACGTTGACAGCGGCTCGACATTGGTGACGTTGAAGTGGCGACGAAGTGGCAAAAGATGTTAATTTTGCCTAATGGCGCGGTTTTTCACGCCTGGAGGTCAATTCAAAGCGAGGGGGAGATTTTACCTCGCATCACAAGACCCCTGGGGCAAGTCAGATGTGAAAGAGGGGGCATCCCAAAAACTCAAAAATAACACGGTCTCCCGCCGTGGCCCCCAAAAACTCGACAGTTGGGAATTAGACACTTGTGACAGGCGAGAGCTGTGGACTGGCCTAAAATAGGGTTAGCGACAAAAACTGGGCGAGCTTAAGGCCCGCCAAAAACCACAAAATCAAAGAAAAAGGAAAAAAGGAAATAAAGAGGGTATGAATAAAATAGCTAAACTAAATTAAACATACCCAAAAGGTCGGTAGTTGGGGCTAACGACAAGTGGGAAATACGCAAGTTGGGAACTTCTTCATCTTTCACCCAAAAATTCGATAGTTGGGGCTATCGCAACACGTGAATTCGAAAATTGGGGATCCTTATCTTCAGCCTAAACAAACCGCATTAATAAGGAAATGAAAGTTGGGGGGTGAGCGCGAAGCTTCACCAAAAACTCGTAAGTTGGGGAAACGAAACCTGGGGCTAACGACTATGGGGCGAGGCATCTCTACCTCTCTTCTCTCCCTCTTCCATCGGCTCGTCCCACCTGACGCTCACCTAAAATGGGGCATGGGGCCCCGTCCTGGGGGGCGGGCGACATGTGAGGCGGCGATGTAGCAGCCGATGTGGAGCTTACCTCTGGTTTCCGAAGAGAAGCGTGAGAGTGGGGATACGGTGTACTGTGGCATGTATACACATATGAAATGTAACATGTGTTAAGAAAGATGAGGGAAGGAAAATGGGTAAAAGAGAATGGGAAGGAAAAATGTGGGATATGAGAGTTGCGAAAGACAAGCCACTGCCTTTTTGGCATAATGTGAAGAAGAAAATCAAAGAAAACAAACAACAAATGAGAAATGTGGCTTGTTGGGAGGTGAAAATGAAAGGAAAAGGACACAAATCAACACAACATACAAGAAATCGCAAAAAAAGATGTTAGAATCACAACCAACATGCGTCAGCATGATACAATCTCGTACGTGCTGACTGTAGCTTTCCCTGCGGGACCACTCAAGCAGCGTAGTCGTGTGGAGCGCGTTAGCGGGCGCGTTTCGCGATTGGGGCGCGTATACTTGGGAGTGTGATGATGAGGCACGCTGCGCACACGCGTCGCGTGGATTGGAGCGCGTTTGTTCTCAGTGGGCCGAAATTTGCGGTTTTAAGCGCTTAGCTTTGCGGGGAGGTTGTATCCTCGTGGGAGAATGGGAAGAATGTCTAGAAGACGTTCTTCTGGGTTTGGATATTGGGGTGTAGTCGTCCTGGGCGCGAATTTCCAAGGGATAGAGACGTGATAACGGTCTTCTGAGGAACTTACCGTTGGGTGTTCGTACTTCTGCGACTCGTACGTTGTTGGGTTCGCTCCCATGAAGTCGAACCACAATTCCTAGTTTCCACTGTCCTCGTGACAAATTGTCCTCGGCAATTAGCACGAGGTCATTGACCTGGGGATGTGTAGTTGTGTGTCTAGGCTGTCTCAAACGACGTTGATGGCGTTGAACAAGTGCGGAAAGGTAATCAGTGCGCCATATCTCCCAAAAGGAGTCCAAAACGGTTTGCGCCTCCCTATACCAATCCAACAGCTTGTGTTCCTCGACAACGACGTCGTAATGCTGGGGTTTTGGGGGAAGTTGAAGCTCAACTTCTGGGGAGATGAAGTCCACTGGGCGTAGTACTCGAAACGGAGCTCCCTCTCGATATGGGGTTATAGGTCGAGAGTTGAGAATCGCTTCGATCTCTACGACCACTGTCCTCAACTGTTCCCATGTGAGTAAGGTTCTTCCTATCGTCTTCTTGAAAGCGGACTTGAAGAGAGCAACGAGTCTCTCATAAAAGCCTCCTTTCCATGGCGATATGGGGGTGATAAACTTCCACGTGATCCTGTGTTTTGTCGCGAAACTGTGGATGGGGTTCCATGACTGAGGTGCAAAGAACAAAGTTCTCATTGCGTCTTCTGCGGCATGGAATGTGGATGCGTTATCACTGTAGATGACGTCTGGTGTTCCACGTCGTCCCATAAATCGTCTGAAGGCTAATAGGAAGTCCTGTGTGGAGTTAGAGCTGACAAGTTCCAAGTGTACAGCTCTTGTGGCCATGCACGTAATAAGGCATACCCATGACTTCGCTTTCATGCCGTTCGCATCCCTGTAATGGATGGGACCCAAATAGTCCAGTCCTACGTTTTGGAACGGTCTCGATCTCGCGACTCGTTCCTCGGGCAAGCTGGGCATGTCCGGATAACGATAGGCTGGGCCATTGGCTCTCTTGCAAACGGTACATGTGCGAAGAATGCGATTTACCGTACGACGTGTGGAAGGTACAAAGAAGCGTTGTGACAGCTGGGCGATAGTTCCATAAGTCCCTTGATGGTAAGATGCGAAATGGATGTGAAGTGTGATGAGAAATGTAAGTCTGTGAGAGGGCACCAATAAAATAGGCGCTGTGGGGTGGACTTTCTCCATGCGGGCTGGGCATCTGATGAGCCCGTTTTCGTCTCTATGTGCGTTAAATCGCTCGAGGCGAAAACGTTCTAACAGATGTGCAGACTCTCTATAATGTTCGCGAATAAGCAAAATCTCCGCTAAGGCAATATCGTGGGCCGTGATGTTACCGGCAGAGGAAATATGAGAAAGAATGGGGATTGCCTTATAGAGATGATGTCTATGCGCGGACACTCTGTGGCTAAGAAAGTTGAGACGTAGAAATCTGAGGACGTAAACAGTAATACGAAGAAGTTTCGTATAACTGTTCGTAGCGTGAAATGGGATAACTGACACATGTGAATCTTCTCTAACCAAACTTACCTGTACAAACTCCTTATCCTGCTCCGGTGTTGTCGTGGGCAGGGTTGTAAAGTCCATGTCTTTATCGGGCCAGTACTCAGGTAACCGAAGGATGAACGATGGTCCTGTCCACCAAACGTGATCCACTGCTTCCTTCGTCGTCAATCCTCGTGTCGCATGGTCCGCGGGATTGTCTTCCGAAGCAACGTAGTGAAACTTGACGTCGGTACCCGAATCCTGAAGTTCCTTAACGGTCTTGCGAATGAAACTTACCCTGTTATGGACGAATTGCTTCAATGGCCTGGTCGAATGAATCCAATGAAGCACGATTTGGGAGTCTGAAAAGATGTGAATTGTGGAGAGTGGAAGATCCAACTCTTTGTGGAGGTATTGGGCTAGAGTGAGACAATTCCTAGCTGCCATCAATTCCATTCTTGGAATGGTCATGGGCTTTGTGGGCTCGTTAAGGTGTGATCTTGCCATAACGAGGTGTGAGGTGGTAATGTCGTAAGTACGACTAATCAAATATGCACATGCGGCGTACAACCGTTTGGATGCATCTCCAAAGACGCACAGATCGAATGTACTTGTGGCGGATGTAGATCGTGTAATGACTCGTCTGGGGAAAGGTGGTAACGGATCCTGTACACCTTGACAGATGCGTTGCCACTCTTTTAGGGCTTCCTCATCCAATCTATCGTCCCACTTA